TGTTGCATTTGGTCCCTTTTGAAATAATTTGCACTGACTTAAAGCAAGTTTCAGACAACATCTTAATTTTTTTCTCACTCAACCATCATGGAATGGAACGCACAGGATTGTGGGATATCAAAGGCAGCGAAGGATACATGTATGCTGCCTTCAAAAATCGATCAGATGAAGGCATCTCAGGAGTCAGGATGTGAAGCTGACATTGGATTCAAACGTGCCTTGATGCCTTCCTACCTTGGAATGCATCCTCGAAGGCAGCATTTTTCAGCTTTCGGACGCAGCCATATCTTTTAGTAAGATTAAGACCATTGTACCTCTTGCCCTGAAACTATTCAAATGAAACCAAACATGACTGTAAATCTTATTTGCATTCATTTAGAACATTATATTCTTGACCAGTTTGAGTGAATCCAGTGGAGGGAGGAGATGAAAGGCACAGATGCATGTGTGAGAGAGGTGTTTCCCGCACCACCCCTCTGTGGGGTGTCCTTGAGGTGCCAGTGCATTGTTTGTTTCTCAGGAGATCAAAGTATTCTAGTTTCTTTTATCCTTACAGTAGTATAGTTTCACAAAACTAAAGTCAGAATGCATCCTCGAAGGCAGCATTTTTCAGCTTTCGGACGCAGCCACAATGTGCACCGTTGGGCTGGGGGCTTCAAGAACGTGGTTGGGAACCACTGCTTTAGATCAGTGCTGCCTAAGATCCTGTTCCTTGAGATCTCTTGAAGTTCAATTGCAACCCTGATCAAACACAACTGACAGCTCATTAAGGCTACGTCTATAATCTGAACCCATTTGAAAATGCCGTGTTTTCTAAAAGTTTCTCATCTACACTGAAACGTCGCAAAAGGTTAAATAAAAAGCTCACTGAGATGATGGAACAGTGATAATTTTTCACACAATTCTTCTGGCAGGATCATTTTATTCACGAAAATATAGTGCGTCCAGGTCGCACTCACTCACTAATATATGTTTGATCTAAAACGCAATGTTTTGCCGCAGGACGGCAATTGTGAGTACATTTTCTGTCATATTTGCAGGACTGTAAGATTAAGAGTGTGTACAAATTAACATATATTTAGAAACAGTGTGAAAGTAGCACATAACAGGCACAATATCGGTACAAACAGATATGTACAATATGCATCACATTACTAAACATGCTGTTTTCTTTGACAAAAATGCTTTATAAGTTTGGACGGAAGGCCAAAACGGCCAAGGCCTACGATCTTCAGGAGCACTTGATGATTACAGACAGATGTGTTGGAGCAGGGCTGGAACTGAACTCTGCAGGTAGGCAGATTTTCAGGAACAGTATTGTGCACCCCTGCTTTAGATTATTCAATTGTTCTTCACACTAAGAAAGAAAACCTGTTCTTTTAAGAACTGTTCACTGAAAGGTTCTTTGGGGAACCCAAAATGGTTCTTCAATGGCAGGGGTCACCAATCCTGCTCCTGGAGAGCTAGGGTCAAGGTCTTCAGGGTCACTTGGGTGTGTTGGAGCAGGGTTGGATCTGAGGTCTGCAGGAAGGTAGCTCTCAGAAACCCCGGCACTGTGAAAACCCCTTTTGGAATCTTTATTTTTTAAGAGTGTATAGTAAATTCTAGGAATTCTAACTACGAATGGTATGCACTCCTCTGTTGATTTGTTTGCTTTTAAGAGCCAGAGTCGCCTGGTACATGTCCAACACAGAGTACTTACACACTCTGGCTCATCAGCGCGCACAGTGTGGGTGTTGAAATAGTGGGTGTGTGGGAGCCACAGCCAGCGTTTGTGTGATTGGGGGTGAGTGGGAGGAAGAAAGAGAGAGAGAATGAGAGGCAGGGAGCGAGAACGAGTGACCCTTCCTCACTGCAGGCACAACAGAAAGGTCTAGATGGCCGGGTTTCTCCTGCAGCAGGCAGTGGAACGGCACACTAATGACTGAGAGACAGTGGGAAGAGCAGAAATTGAGGCGTGCGTGGGTGGTCTGGTACAAACACACCACGCTCTGCACTGAAAGCCCTTTTTTCAGGAACACTGAAGACGAGCTGTTTTCTAGCGCTGGCTGTGAAGAACGTAATATTACGGTTTTCAGAGGCGTTGCTGAAAACAGCCCCTAACATATATGTCCATGGACCACAAAACCAGTCATAAAGGTCAATTTTTTTTAAATTGAGATCTATACATCGGAAAGCTGAATAAATAAGCTTTCCATTGATGTATGGTTTGTTAGGATATATACAATATTTAGCCGAGACAACTATTTGAAAATCTGGAATCTGAGGGTGCACAAAAATCTAAATATTGAGAAAATCATCTTTAAAGTTGTTCAAATGAAGTTCTTAGCTATGCATATTACTAATCAAAAATTAAGTTTTAATTTATTTACAGTTGGAAATTTGCAAAATATCTTCATGGAACATGATCTTTACTTAATATCCTAATGATTTTTGGCATAAAAGAAAAATCTATAATTGTGACCCATACAATGTATTGTTGGCTATTGCTACAGATATCCCCCAGCGACTTAACACTGCTTTTGTGCTGCAGGGTCACATAAAGAGGTCACAAAGTGAAAACAAAGAAAAACAGCCAGAGATATTGTATATGTCATCAACTGAGAGATCAAACATTGAAAAACATATACTTTAGGTGTGGCGCACTCTAGTGGTGATGGCTTGTGGGTAAACAGTGATGCATAACATATTGCCGACTGATAAGTGATGGATACTCTGATATAATGCTGTATATGGTATAATAGTGCAATGCCTTAATTTAACTAAGGCAGTGTTTTTGGAGTATATGTGCATTTCAAATAAACATGGCAATGTCTTGAATTATTCATAACCACAACATACAGATTCTTGCATGTCTATACACACATTAATAATTCATGTCGAATGTCACAGGAACTCTGCAGTAGATTGTGTCACGTACGAGCAAGAAACTATTTCCATCTCTATCCGTCGCTTCCATATTATAGAAACAAAAATGCAAGTAAGCCACCTCTAAACACTAATTTGAAAATGTACCTGCTGTTCCTACGGTCTATTAATCCATAAGCCACCTGAGGCTGTAAATTGTACCGTGTGATGAGTGTTCTTTGGCACATTAAGCAAAGTGCTTAAAAGCCTTTAACCATGTTAAAACCACAGCGTTTCATTGCATTAATCTACCAACCTCCAACTTCAAAAACCAGCAGAATTGTTTACTTCAGTCACTTAGAGCTTTGTTCTTATAACAGACAATGACACAACTTAATATGTAAAACATTTATTGGATATTGCATACAAAAAAGTCAAAGTAAAATAGATTACAATTAATGAGACACTTTTGGTATGCACCCTCCTCTTGTAGGCCTTCAAAAGTCTTCGTACAATTTACCCTTAAAACAAATTGGATTCATAGTTCACAATTGATGGCTCAATTTTTACAGCCTTAAACTCACATTTCTGTCTTTTGATGGTAGTTCAAATAGCATCTTTTACTTTACAGTAGATTATTACAATGACAATTTAATACAATTTCGTATTAAATATACCAAAGCACATTGTATCCGTTACATAAGTCACAGCCCTGTCTAATAAAACCTGAAAGAACAAGGAAATGACTTTCCTCACGAAAACAGTGTTTGTAACTAAAAGAAGCTAAATTTAAAATTCACAGATGTGGAGGTGTTTGGCAAAGAAAACAGTTTCTATTTACGTCACATTAAGTAAACTAAACAAAAAGGTAGATTTTATTAGCTCAGAGGCCAAGTAACAAATGTACACAAATACAACTTTACTTGAACTCAATTTCACTTAAATCTGACACAAATCGGTGTGCCCCATGATACACTATCAAACAATTCGTTCTCAAAGAACCTTCAAAAGAACCCTAAAAAGTAAACATGTAGATAATGATAGCCCCATTAAAATAAAATAGTTCCGCACTGCATTACTTTTTTAAAAAAAAATCATGTTTCCCAGGTCAATTGTTTTGTACACCACACCGAATATATATTCACAAATTTATAAGACGTTTAATGTGAATTTTAAATGTATTTAAAGACTCCCTGTGCACTAGGATTTTAAAAATCCTGAGGAAAAAAACTATCAAAAATATACGATTGTAGCTAAAAACCAAACTGCAGTATAATGCAGTTTGTGGGAAAAGTTGAAGCATAGACCCTAGAGCTCACAGTAACACTCAGATCCGTTTCTTATAAAAATATCTGCCGCATGCATAATCGTCTGAGAAACATTTAAAATAAGAAAAAGTTTTAAAACTTAAACGCAACAGAATCGACAGGGTGGATAGATGCAGATTACTCACTGGATTCAGAAACTAAAATATAGGTTTTCGTTTTTTCGGAGTGTCTCAAGCAGGTTGCAATTTGAGCAAAGCAAGCAAGAAATAAAGGCAAATTTGACAAGTCAAATTGGTTTCATTCGTCATCCATTTCTTTGGTGAATCTGCACGAGCATCCGCGCTTTTGTAAAAGTGTTGATTCTGGTCCAATCTCAATGCAGAATTCAATAACCATTAACCTCATGGTAAACTCATTCAATGTTTTGAATATTTGAATGAACTCAAACTCTTTGGAATACAGAATTGAGTAGCTTCTCAGTTTTTTTTACATTGTACTTATTAGAAAGTACCATTCTAGTTGGTCTCAAATGTCTCAATCACTGATTCAAACATACATAATACTATGTAAAGCATGAATCGAAACACATCACTTGAAATTATTTAGAAGTCGTTTCCACCCTGTTCATCTGGTTGGCGAAGCACAAAAACATAAGGTACGCTAAGCTGTCAGTTACGGGCTATAGTGCACTACAGAACAATAATAATTCCCCCATTCATAACCCCGCAGTGACGAGAACACATGATTCATTGACATGAATATGCAGATTCATTAGTCATCGGCTCGCACAAATACTCTCTAATTTCAGGTCGTTTGACTCATTCTCGGATGGCATTCACCAAAGCTACGTACTGGGATGTCGCCGCCATTGGGAAGCGCTTTTGACTTCTACAGTGGCCGTCTGGAAAGACTATTCATTGAAAAACAGCATTGTTTGCCACAGCTCAAGATTAACTGGCTTTACAAATGAGGTCCGTACAAATAAAGGGTCGAGGGAGGGGTGTTATGAACTCATGATTCGAAGAATACAAAAGTAGTGGCTCTACAAAACTAGACTGAATTGTGGGGAGGAAAATACTAAAGATGCGTGGCTCCATCACATGACGGCACATTCTCTGGATCGGATCTTTGGATCGCCCTGGAAAGGAGAGCAAATTTGGTTATAATCCAACATCTCAAGACAGTCGTTCGACTTCAAGTTCTTCTTTACCAACCTGCTGATGGAAGAGATCTTCGTCTCCAAAGTCTCCCTCCTCATCATCACCATTCTCCATTTCTATCATGCTTTTCGTGACGGTTCGCTTCGCCACTTCCTGGAAACCGAAGTTCACGCTTTGTAATTGGATTCAAAAACAAAGTAGGAAAAAGCCAGAAATATGCTCTTCATACCTCTCCGCTTGAATTGACCAGTAAGGTGAGGATATTTTCTCCGGTGCCCCAAGAGCTCTGGCTCTTCCACAGCAGGTCTGAAGGAGGACTGTGGGACACGCCGGCGTCGGCGCTCCACACCTTTCACAGAACCAACTAATTAACATCTAGTCAACGTCCTGAGATGGAATTAAATGAAAGACGGTCCTATTTGCTTACATTTACTGTCTGGCCTGCCTTCAGGACAAACTTGGGACTGAATTTATAGGTGATTTCCTCTCCATCGCCAATTTGTCTCTTTAGTCGCCAGCTGCCCAGAGATTGATCCTAAATTTGGAATTTAAAAAAAATATATATGATGAATTTGTTTTTTTTTTGTTTTTTTGTAAAGCAAGGCACCACAAAGTAAAATATTAGCTAACAAACATCACCATACTATGGAAGCCCATTTCTGCCATTACGACTTCTCACAATTCTGACTTTTCTCAGAGTTATATGACAGAAACTAGCACTTGTGAGCTTTAAAAGTCAGAACTGCGAGATTTAAACTTGCAATTGCGAGAAAAAAAAAATCAGAATTGCATGTTTATATCTCGTAACTCTGAGGGGGAAAAAAGTCCTTTAAAAAAAAAAAAACCCCATTGCAATTACCTTTTATTCAGTGGCAGAAACTGGCTTCCATATCATACTTCCCTAGGTGATTGATTACATTAAGTTTTGTGAAATGTTTAAATATTTTAAATGAGGCATTGTCTAATTAAATATGTACTAATTTGCATACATTTCCAGAACAAAAATGGTGAAGCCAGGTTTAAAATTTTAATTAATTTTGTTGGAGTTAAACATTTTTATAGAGATCTTTGACTTCTGACTCCACAAATCCGAAAAACTGCCAAAAGCCAGAAAAAAATAAGACATTTTCACTAAGTTTTTAGGAATAAAATGTTGTATAAAACCAGGTGAATGATGCATGAACAAACCCCTCAATAAACACCTTCACAATAGAGTCAGGAATAAAACTGTAAAGTTTAGTGTATGTAAGTGCTGCTGAAGGTGGAGAAAAAAACTTAAAGAAATGTACTCTAAATGAAACCTACAGACACAAATATGTAGTTTTCAGGACTTACTTTAAAAATAGGATGCATTCTGGACATCAGGCACAACAGAAACACACTCCATTATGTCTGATGCCCAAGATGCTTCCTCGATGGGCGGCACTTTTGGCCAAAGGCATGTTGGAAGGCAAAGCCTAGTAAGTATTTTTGCACACTATTTAAAAGCTAAAATGCTCGAACGTGCTGTCTAGGTTGACAATTCACTAGCTTGTATAAAATCAATTGAATGATATATGAACAAACCATTCTGTAAAAACCTTGAGAATATAGCCAGGAATAAAACTGCAAAGTTTGGTGTATGTACACTCTAAAAAATGCTGGGTTAAAAACAACCCAGTGCTGGGTAAAATATGGACAAACCCAGCAATTGGGTTGTTTTGACCCAGCGGTTGGGTTACTACCCAGAAGGTTGGGTTAAACATTTAACCCAACCGCTGGG